TAATATCGGAGAGAGAGAGAGAGAGAGAGAAGAACTTGCTTAATATCATATGGTAAGTTCGTTGCAGAGGTGATGTTCAACCCAGGGCTCATATCCCAGCCTCCTAGCCACAATGCCGCCATAGCTCATGAATGCTTCCAGTTGATCTTTATGGAGTGCATGGTGTTGTGCAGATTGCCAGCTTTCCACAGGCACCAGGCTTTTACCCCCTCCCTCTAAATGTCAGTCTCTTTTATTCTAACTCCCAGTTGGGCATTATCGGAGGGGATAGCATCCACCAGCACTACCACTATACTGCTAAAAGTGAGCCACAACCTTGCAATGAGGTGACTATTTTTGCTTTTGTCTGTTGTATTCAAGGGAAGAGAATTAAGGCTTCCCTCTGACTCACTGTGCAGAACCACAACCCGTTCTCTTTGCTCCAGAGTACAGTGGTGCCCCGCTTGACGATAATCCGTTCCAGCAAAATCGCTGTAACGCGAAATCGTCATCAAGCAGAAAAAAAAATCCCCATTGGAATGCATTGAAAACCGGTCAATGGGGGAAATACCCAGAAAAAAAAATCCCCATGCCCATAGAGAACCACCGATCAGCTGTTCTAATTCGCTGTAATGTGAAGCTTCCATCTGGAAAGCAGCCATTTGGAGAAGGGAGGGAAGCCATTTTGCAGAGGGAAGCCATTTTGCGGAGCCGGAAAAAACATCATTTTGCGAACAAACGGTTCACGAAGCAGGCTCCTAATTAACGTAATGCGGAAAAAAAACCATTGGAACTATCGTTCCAAAAATGTTATCGTCAAGCGATTTTGACGTCATGCGGGGTAAGCGTCTAGTGGGGCACCTCTGTAACCTGGAATTTGAAAAGGAGGAGCTGCTCTCAGCCGGAACTTAGGTGGTGGAGATCTATAATTAGGATTTCTTGGAATTAATATTATGAATGTAAAAATGGTGGTGGGCATTGCTGAATTTGATTCAGGCTTGCAGTGCTGGGACAGGAGAGTATTTTTACCTGCATGGATGCCTTTACATTTTGTTTACCCTTTTCTCCTGTGACATTTTCCCAGTAAAAATCCCCACCTCTCAGATGTTCTTTGCCCCACAGAAAGAAAACATAAAAGTACCTTCACAATAGCTTTCAGCTTGGTTTTTACCTGCTGGACGGATAACTCAGGGGAGAGCTACTCAATTTTCAGCGCAACTATCTCGTATTGATCAGATAGCTAGGGTACAAATAGAATGAATGAATGAATGAATGAATGAATGAATGAATGAATGAATGAATGAATGAATGAATAAGATTTAAAATCCTAATTATTATTTTTTTAAAAAAACCATCCAAGAAGACAGTCCGGGCACAGATCTCCTGTATCAAGTATTTATGCCCAGTCCTTTGATCACCAAGCTGTGACCTTCCTGTGACAGTTTTTGGATGCTATTTAATAAAGCTGAGCCAATTTTTTTCCCCCATGCCCAAAGCTTCTACTCAGTTTTTGTCACCACAAAGTAGAAGGATGGATCTGGGGAGGAACCAAAATGGACTGAGAGAAGAGGCTTCACTCAAGCACTGAAGCCAGAAACCATTTCATTTCCCCCAGCCACAAAAGCCACGTGGCCACGGCTAGGAGCTACCTTTCTTTGGCAGCAAATGATTCAAAGATGGTGCCACAGCAGAGAAGGCTATACTGCCAGCTGGAGCACTTCTGCAACAGCGAACTTGGTTAATACAGATTTTCTCGGTAATCTCAGAAAAATCCCCCCAAGGGGCATCAGGGAGAAAGTGTTGCCAAATTATCACTTTTTTAAAAAAAAAGTCTTAGTAGGATTTCAAGCCCTGGTTCCACTGGAAAAGTGCACACTTCATTCCTGAGTCCTGGTCGGAGAAAGTGTTGCCAAATTATCACTTTTTAAAAAAAAGTCTTAGTAAGATTTCATATGGTTCCACTGGAAAAGTGCAGACTTCATTCCTAAGTCCTGGTCACAGAAATGCCTCTTCCCCCCCCCCCCAAGAAGTGTACTGGTTAGTATATAATGCTAATAATAATACAGTGGTGCCTCGCTAGACAATGATAATCTGTTCCACTGAAATTGCTGTTTAGCGAAATCATTGTCTAACGAAAAGCATTTCCCCACTGGAACGCATTGAAACCTGTTTGATGCGTTCCAATGGGGAAGAATCGTCGTTGTCTAGCGAAGATCGGCCATAGGAAAGCCGCTGTGCGAATCACTGATCCGCTGTTTAAATCGCTGCCTTGCGAAGCTTAGGTCCCGAAACACCTGTTTGGCGAGCATGGAGGAAACTGTCAAAATTATCGTCTAGTGAAAATCGGTTTGCGAAGCAGGGACCAAACATTGTCCAGCGAAATTCCCCCCCAGGAATCACTGTTTTGCGAATCGGTATAGCGATCGCAAAAAGCCAATGTCTAGCAAAAAAAAACCTGTCATGCGGGGTAACTGTCTAGCGAGGCACCACTGTAATAATAATCATAGAACTGCAGAGGTGGAAGGGGCACCTCTGGATCATCAAGTTCAGTATTTCTCAAGTGGGGAATCGAACTCACAGTCTCTGAAGCCGGATTGAAGTCGGATGCCTGAAGCACTGAGCTGTCTTTAAAAAATGAGAGAAAAAGACAAAAAATGTACCCAGTGATGCCCAAATCCCAACCGGGAGAAAACAGCCCCTCTCTCAGATTTTAGTGTTCGTTTCTGACTCCGTAGCAAAGCTCTGCCAACCTGTTGCTGGTTTGTGGTTTCCTTTCCAGGCAGGAGGGGGTTCTTGTCATTTTTCTAAACCCCCCCTTCTGCCTCGCTCGACATCCATAAAAGTACAGGAGCAGAAGTACAACTAGTCCTGGCATTCTGTCAAAGAATTAATTGAAAAATAAAGTCATTAGATTGGGGGGGGGGCTCCAAAATGCAAAACTGGTTGAGGTTGGAGGGAGCGGACAAGGGAGGGGTGGGTGGTGGTGGGGATGCAGCTTTTGTCAGGTTAATTTCTCCAGTATTGATGTTTTGTGACATTTACTTGTTGTTTATCTTCCGAAGCAGCTGTAATGCTAAAAGAAAATGCAGCAGCTTGTTCTCTGTGTTTATTTTACACCCTTTCCTCCAGTCCTGCAAGTACATTTATTTGTTTGTTGGAGACGGGAGTTTTGATGGCTGAGATTCAGCTTTGAACAGCTGTTCCCCACATGGAGAGCTGCTTTCTTATAATAGTGAAGGGAAGCGCGCCGCAGAAGGGAAGTTTCCTCCCTACCGTGTTCTCTTTTTTAAAAAAAATATAGTAATCAGGGAAATAATAATCACACTGGGCTCCCATAAATCGCCCAGGGCATCTTTGAACTTAGGAAATAACAGATGAGGTAGCTATATGCAAACATATAATTGTTTCAGCTTAAAAAAATATTTTAAAACAAATCTGCTGTCTGGGGTTTGAATGAATGAATTCCTAGGATTGGGTGAGTTGCTATGATGTCATGGAAGGCAGCAGGAACATCTTTTGTTTTGTTTTACAGCAAAGCCTGGGTGGACATATGAAGAAAAAAAAAGGCAAAAACTAACACACTAGAAATGCCCATCCAGACACTGACTGTTTGCAGATTTCTAAGCAAAAAAATAATAGCAATAACTGAACTTTGTGTGCCTTTTCAAGAGGACTGGAGCAAATAACGTCACGAGGGCTGCTGTCAGCGTCCAATGAGAATATCCAGAAGGCGTGAGAATTTTTTTAAATAACAATAATAATTTTTTTTCTAAGCTTCCAAAACATACAAACAATATAGAAAAGACAGCAACAGCAAAAATGAAAAACTATTAAACTAAAACATTCCCCCCCCCTTTTAGGACATAGATTGCCACGTCGTCTGGATCTTGGGTATCTGAAGCCATGCGAGGGGTCTGGATTGGTTGGAACTCAGTGATTAGCATTCCCCATTGCTCCCCATGTTCCTTGTGGGTGGGCGCCATCTTGCTTTTACTGACCACCTGTGTCTCCATCTTGGATCCTTTCCTCTCTTTTTATCCTTTTAAATGAATTATTTTGAGGGCATCTTTTCCATTGCTTTGAATTAATTTTGCTGCCAGACAACAGCCTGTACTTGTGTGCCTCCTATTTTATTATTATTCCCACCCCCTTGCTGATGATTTCTTTGGGGAATTTTCCCCTTTTTGGTTTGCATACCTGCCTTCTTTAAGAGGAAAAGGCAACAAGTGAGAGAAACCGCCCCACATTCTGCTAGTTTTGGTCATTGGGACTTTCCTTCTATGCTTGCCTGTATTTGTTCTTCACTGTGGGGTTTTGCTTGTTTGCTCTCTTATGCCTAGGTGTGTGGGGGAGATGCTTTCCCTGTTTGATTAATTTTTCCAAAAAATGTTGCTTGGTTAATTTACTGTATTCTGTGAAAGGTATATGTTTTGGCTGGTTTTCTATGCTTGTTCTCTTTGTTTCTGTGGGGGTGAGTGGACGGGAGGTAGATCTTATGACTGTGCCAATGTGATACTGAACTATCCAGATGCCTGATTATCAGTTTTCTTTCTCATGGAGCATTGCTTACTTTTGGAGTAGATTTATTCTCTGTTGCCCTCCCCCCTCCCCGCTTTTTTGGAGTAGTATTAAAGGTTCTTTAGGGCTTTTGGATTTTGCTAGGTTGAGAAAACATGAATGGGAACAATGAAAACAAAAAGACCCAATAGCGGCAGTCCATTTTGTGTAAAATAAAAGGACTGGTTCATGAAAAACATGAACACAAAAGTTGCAACCCTGAAAGAGTCCAAAGGTTTTTGCTGTGCACGTTGCTAATGTGAAGTGTGTTAAACAATAGGCCATTCTTTGTCATGGGACATATTTTATTTTATGATTGCTGATTGTCAAACTGGGTCAAAAATATCTGGAGATTACCAGCTTCTGGAAGACTAGACTAGGAGGTAGATAATGCAGATAATGCAGTGCTAAAGGTACCTTTTTCTCCTTCCTATTCCTCAACGGTGTTGTTCTGGCCAACACAGATTCCCCAACCAAGAAGAAGCGGTCAGCTGCCCTGGAAGAAATCCTGGAGAAGTTGGATGATGAAGGAGATGATGAGGGAGACAGCTAGAGCACCTGCCCCCAACTCTGAGGTATGTGGGGAAACCTCTCTTCTTTAATTTGACCATGGGAAGATTATTTATTTTCTTTTTAAAATTAGCGTATGTGGGGAAACCTCTCTTCTTTAATTTCACCATGGGAAGATTATTTTATTTTTAAAATTAGCTGAAATATTCTTATCCCACCTTTCTCCTTAGAAAGTACCGTGTGGGGAAACCTCTCTTCTTTAATTTGACCATGGGAAGATTATTTATTTTCTTTTTAAAATTAGCTGAAATATTTTTATCCCACCTTTCTCCTTAGAAAATACCCAAGGTGGCTTACAGCATTCAGAAAAGTGTTGATTTAAATGCACGAGCCGTGGAAGAGTTTTAGTCCTCTTCTCTCTTGTCTGCTTTAATATTGCCTGCTACCATTTTTCTGTCTCAGTTTCCCTTCTACTTGATTACACCTGATTTCCCACCACCACCACCACTCCCCCAGATACCACCTTAATCTGTTCTTGTACATCTACAGCAGAGGAAACACAGGCCAAAATCTCTGCTCACTCATGAATCTTACCAGGTAGGCTGAGAAGTGATGCTCTCACAAACTCCATCCTTCCAAAGATATGTTTGTGTTTTCTTTTTTAACAGAAGAATCGCCCTCCTTTTTCCCCCTCCCATGGCCAACTTAAAACTTAACAGAAGAATCGCCCTCCTTTTTCCCCTTCCATGGCCAACTTAAAACAATAAAATAAAATAAAGGATGCGAGAGCCCTTGTAGGCTTCCCCACAAAACATGGCAACATTGTCCATATATCCCTAAGGGGTGCAAAGGAAATTTGACTCCCCATTTGTTTAAAAAAACATTGAGGGATGCAGAGATTTTGGAGGGTCAAGGATGCTGAGAGGGCCCAGTGGGGCTGCTAGCAGGTGTGTGTGCCACTTCCAGGCAATATATCACCTACCCCCTATTCTTCCCCCCCTTGCTTGCATCTCCATTAGGATGACAAAGTTGAAGTACAATCAGAGTTTGGTACGATCATTAACTTGGACCAAATTATTCCGTACTCAAAGAAAGCTAGTAGGCTGTTAGTGTGTACCGGGGAGAGGGTCAGTTATTTTTTGTTATACAGTGAATGGTGCAAGGCATGCTGAGTAAATAAGAGGAGTAAGGTATTTCTCTTAAGTAGCAGGAGCTTTGAAATTGCAGTGAAGGTTGGTTCAGAAATGTCCTGAAACCAGACCTCCAGGCACGGTGGGGTGACCCCGTATCTTGTTCTCCCACCTGCTTCTGCATCTGCCTAGCTGCTGTAATACACAATGTCCTCTGCTGTGTCCCTTGTTCCTCCTGATTTTTGTGTGTCTTTTCTCCCCGCTGACTTCCGTCCCCTTGAAAGCATGCTTTCCAGTTCCCTCCCCTCCAAGCCACAGATGTGCCCTCCTCGATCCTGCACATAGGGCAGTCACCCTGCTTGGCATTGTGTGTGATGGCCCGGGGCCTATGCCGCATTCGCCTGGCGCACAGCCGCTTTCGTTGTGCCGATCTTGACCTGTCGTGTGGCTCCACGCTGTGGGATTGCCATAATCCAACAGATGACCATGTCAGACCTTTTGTTGCTGAATGCTTGCAGTCTTTTTGAGAGGTGTCTCAGTCTCCGTGTTGGCTTTCTGGGGACCTGCCTGCCTCCATAGATCCTTTCCAAAAGGGAAGCATGCTCAGGATCGGGGGGACTTTCCTGATGGAAGACACAATGCCTCCTTGGTTCCAGGACTAATCTTTGCCAGTTACTGGCGGCTTCTCAAATACATGAGCCAACAATGTGATATGGTTACCAAAAAAAGGTAAATGCAATTTTAGGCTGCATTAATTGAAGTATAGTTTCCAAATCCCACGAAATGCTAGTCACCCTCTATTCAGCACTGATTAGGAATCCCCTTGAGTCTTGTGTCCAGTTCTGGACACCACACTTCAAGAAGGATGCTAACAAATTGGAACAAGTTCAGAGGAAGGTTGACAAGGATGATCAAGGGGACTGGAAATCAAGCCTTATGAGGAAAGGCTGAAAGAATTGGGCATGTTTAGCAATGATAAAAGAAGATGGGTGATATGATAGCACTTTTCAAATATTTGAAAGGCTGTCATACAGAGGAGGGGGCAGGATCTGTTCTCGATCACCCCAGAGTGTAGGACACGCAACAATGGGCTCAAGTTAAAGGAAGCCAGATTTCGGTTGAATATCAGGGGGAAAAATAATCCTAAATGTTAGAGCAGTACGACAGTGGAACCCGATCCATCAGGAGTTGGTAAGTGCTGCAACACTGGAGGCATTCCAGACAAACTTAGACCATCACCTGGCAGATCTGCTTTGATGGTATTCCTGCACTGAGCATGGGGGTTGGACTGGATGGCCTTGTAGACCCCTTCCGACCTCCACTTTTCTATGATTCTGTGATTACAGGGCTGGTGGTGCTTCATGTCCCACTGAAAGCAAGGGGGTGCAGATTTAGTTGTCCCTGCAGTTGAGATGCTTGCTAAGAAAATAGGTTTCCCAAATAACATGTGGGGCAGAGGTAGGAGGATGTAGAAAGACCCTCGCTCAAGAAGTGGTGCAGCACTCTTCTGTACAATCTCTCCTAACAATCCCCCGTGGCACTCCTCAGCCTGAAGCTGGAGGCATTCTAGGCCACAAAGACAAGGCCTGAGGTAAGATTAATCCCAACTGAAACACACTCCCACATTGCACGGGCCGTGCATCAACTGAAATTGGCCTGCAATGAGTGACTCTCGCCTTCCAAAGAAGTGCTGTAAGGAACAGCTCCAGAGTCTATCCTGATAGTCCTGGGTAAATTCAGTTTAGACCCATTTTACAGAATTATGGAACTGACAAAGAGTCCTTGACCACTTTTGCCTCTAATAGAGTTCAGCAGCTAGTGAAAGAAAAATCCGTCCTTACTCTTCAGTGGCTAAATTTGTGTGCCATCTCACAAATTCTCATTGGTTCTCCCTGTAGAGAACATCATTCGGTTTGGAGAATGATTTTGCTAATCAGACTTCAGCCCCTTTAAGAAAAGGATTCACAGCTTTGCGTTTTCAGTATATGCCACCAGCCGTTTTTGGAAGGGAGATACGATCATGTTCCATTTCATCAAAGATTCTGCATTTGTGGATCAGGAGAGGTCCAAGATGTTTTCCATTATTTATTAAGTTGATCCTTATTTATATAAGCACCCCAGAAGTCAATTTCTTGCTGGCTTTCTCAGACCTTTGTGTGACAGACCTCTTGGTTCACCTTCATACATAGTTTTTAGGTAGGGATGCAAATACTACTTATCAAGTAGAAAAATTTGCTTTGGCAGCAAAGAAAATACATGCCGAACATCAGAAGTCTTAAGAAAGGATGGAGGCTGTGTCATATTATATTTACGTATACATATGTTATGTCAGTGCTATATATGTTTTGTGTTGCTTTTGATATATTGTGATGATCTATGATTTTTAAGCTTCTGTTTTGTTTTGTTCTGTTTATATGTTCACATGTCAACTCTCTTCCATCCTGTTTCAGCATTCAGCTGTGGTTATTATTTTTTTTAATCCCCAGAAAATTCCACTTAAATGTATATTTCCCTGCATCTTTTATCTTAACATATATTATTTTAAAACAATGTCCTGTTAGATACTGTCTTATTCATTTTTAAGCAGTAAAACTCCGTTGCAAAATCTGGAGACTCGTGAAACACAAAAGATGACTAGGTCTGATGTGCGCCTTAGTCTGAGAGAGGGATATGAGGCCAGTGTGTATCAGAATTCACAGAGAATCCTTTGTTCATACATCCTTTCTTCCTGCTACAGACTTTCTGTCTGCCAGGAAGAGATGTCAATCCTGACCTGGTTTGTCCTTGTACACTAAACCTGTACAGTTGATCTTTGCTAAAAAAAATAAATAAAAAAGGCAAGTAAACCAAGAAAAATGAGGACAATAAAGAGTAGTTGTTTTTTGTTGGGTTTACATTTGCAAAATTGTGTGCATTTGGAAAACCAGTTTTTTCACATTTTGGCAAACATGCAAAATTTAAAGCTACATTAGCTTCTGCCCGATTGTAGGGAGTATTAAAAGCAGAAGAATGGCAGAGACGGATGCTCTTGAGGACCTATATTAGAATTTTTAAAGGGCTGCCACATGGAAGATAAAACATAGTTTTCTATAGTTCTGGAATATATATGTTCTTGTACTTCAACTCCCATATATATGTATGTATGTATGTATGTATGTATGTATGTATGTATGTATGTATGTATGTATGTATGTATGTATGTATGTATGTATGTATGTATGTATGTATGTATGTATGTACATGTATATATATATGTATGTATGTACGTGTATATGTGTGTGTGTGTGTGTGTATGTACGTATATATATATTCCAGAACTATAGAAAACTATGTTTTATCTTCCATGTCGCAGCCCTTTAAAAATTCTAATAGTGGATTCTAAATACAAGGATGGAGAATTCACCTAAACTTTAGGAAGAAGATTTTAGCAATAAGAGTGACTTGTCAGTGGGATGGACTGTCAGAGAGAGTGGTGGATTCTCTTTCACTGGCGGTTTAGATAAAAAGGCTGGGTGCCCATCTGACAGGGAGGTTTAGCTGGCAATTTCCTGCTTGTAGGGGCTAAAACCCTTAGGGGCCCCTCCCAGCTCTACATTTCTATGATTCTATAGAACAGTAATTTTAAAAATAAATAAATAAAAAGCAATGACAATAAACAGGCAGGCGTATGCCTTAGCTGAAAGGACTACCTGGATTTTAAAAAGCATTTACCTTTTGGCAGAAGAATGGGAGAGAGGTAACTGGCCTTAAACTCTCATGGCTGAGAGTTCTATGGCTTAGGAGCAGTCATTGAGAAGGCCCTGCATTGTGTTCCCACTAGACGTGCTTTTGATGCTAGCAGGCTTCAGAGGAGGACTTCCCACAAGGACTCAACCCCTAGGTAGCCTTCTAGACCAGCGGTCCCCAACCTTGGACCTCCAGATGTTCTTGGACTT